TAACGCGGTGTACTCTCCACAAGCGAATGCATCCGAGAGGGTCAATCGGACCATTATCGCAGCGATTCGATCTTACGTTTCGGAGGATCAAAAGGATTGGGATAGATATTTATCCTCAATCGAATGTTCATTAAGATCCACGCTTCACACTTCGACCGGCTTCACACCATATTTTTCACTTTTTGGCACACACATGATCACACATGCGAGTGAATACGATTTGGCACACAAACTTGGGATTCTAGAGGACGGCACGGTAGATATTGTTCCGAAACACGATATTTTGCACTTAGTCCGAGATACGATCAAAAGTAAATTGCACGATTCGTTCGAAAAATCGGCAGCACGTTACAACACTCGATCTCGCGAAGTTAATTACAAACCGGGACAGGAAATACTGAGGAGGAACTTTGTTTTGAGTGACGCTTCCCGCCATCTTAATTCAAAACTATGTCGAAAATTTGTCAAATGCAGAGTTGTTCGGAAAGTAGGGAACTCACTTTACGAAATTGAGGATTTGAACGGTAGGACGATAGGGGTCTATCATTCGAAAGACCTGCAGCATATGGTACCAAACAAGTAGTCGCAGGGCTATTTCAGTCGGTAGAATTCTTAATCTCAGGGTCGCAGTTCTCCCCCATTTTTTTTCTTTTTTTACACATCACGGTTGACTTCCCGAATCAGTTAGACTTCGGCTGGCCTGCGTCAACATGTTCGGGTTTGTTATGTCAGCCGGTTAACGCAATGCGCAGCGTAAACATCGCCCGCATTGTGGTCGATGCATTGATAGCCTGACGGCTACCGGTTATCGATTACTCCTTTTTTCTGCAAGGTGACATTTTCGATTGCGAATAGCCTAATCATTTGCAAAAGGGAATGAAAAAGAACGCCATTTGCATTCTGTCTTTTGTTTGAAATTCATCGAGGCGGCAATTGAGCAAGGAACAAATAATAAAAAGTGAATTGTGCAAATTATAAATTTCTAAAATAAAAGTGTGTGCTCCAACAACAATCACCATTGGTAACGGCGTCCGGGATTTTCTTTTAAAAGTATTTCACTGGGCACGTAGGCTTCGACCTAAACCAGCTCCTATTGCCCAACGCTACCATTGCCAATATCAATTTTGTTCCCCGGCACCACCACTCCAAATCAATTTAAAGTCACCACCACTCCAAATCAATTTAACGTGACCACCACTCCAACTCATTGCAAGTGACCACCACCACAGCCCACTGAAATTTACCACCACCATAACCCATTGATATTGACCACAACCCACTGAAAATTATCACCACCGAAAAACCATTAACAGTGGACATCACCATTAACCAGCATTAACCATAGACACCCTTCCAACAAACTCCAGCTTCCAGTTGCTGATTTCCTTTTTTTGTAAGGCCTGGGTGCGCTTCCCCCATCACCACAGTAAGCATTTGGTGAACAAAATTGTATCATAATTAGTTATTCGCATTTTTCTGCCACAGGCAGGAAAATACGAATACTATTATTTCTAACATATCCATCGACGGACAGCCGATGTGAAAAACATATATTGTACATAAGTACATATGTATATATATAGTACAAATATAACGGCATAGGACCGTTACTTTAAAATCACATGTGTCTTCGTTTCATTTTTTTTTTGTTGTTTCTAAAATTCGAGTACAGTACAGTACAGCTATAAGCAACGATAGTTGTCTAAGTGAGTTGATGATTGAAATTTATTAGATAGTTTTAACTTTTTATATTATTTATTAAATCTGGTTAAATTAAATTTATTAAATAATAATAATTTCAAAATCAAATCATTTATATAATTAATTATTTTAAACTCGCTGGACGAGTGAAATTCTTTGAAGACTAATACATTAATTATTTGAATTGTAATTTATCATTAAAATAATTATTTAAATTTAAATTTATTTGATATTTCAATTATCTAATAATTAATAATTAATTACATTAACCTAATTGCCATTCATATTTCTTAATATTATATTTTCTGGAGTCTCATTATAATCGTATGTAAATGTTGATCCCTATTAAATACCAATAGCTTTCCAGTCATACCCGGTCTAGAAGGTGACCGAATATCTTACCTCTTGAGCTCAATAGGGTCGAGATTTATTTTACAAATTCTTATTTTCTTACATATTTCTTTTTGTTGAATTTATATGGGGATAAACATAAAGCCTCATAAATATTTTGTTCCTATATATAAGTATATATATTAATAGATATATATTTATATTCCTATGTAATGTTTATAAAAATCCCAATGCAAATAAAAGGGAATAATGAATTTCTGTAATGATGAAGTGAAATAGTCATGTATTAGTGATTTATTCAAAAGGTGAAATAAGGTAGGTTCAGCCAAATAAAAATGTTTTTAGGGGGTTTCCGGTAAAATAAGAAACCCGCAGGGGATTTTGAAGAAATCCGTGGGAGGGCTCAAGGTACCCATCCACCATCTGGGGTACCCACAACAACAACATCAAGCATCTGTATCGTTTTCGTGACTTCTTAATGATATTTTTTTTTGATATACTATTGTGCATGGTCTGGTGAGGACGAGGAGCTAAGCCGAGGTAAAAATAAACACAATTAATGGCATACCAACAACAGCTGAGTATGACACATAGCCATAATAAACTCTCGCCGATTCCTGTTACAATTAATTACATATAGGAACACAGATCAAAAACGTACGCTCTGTAGACACTTAAAAAACTGCAATGAAGTGAATGAATTGTGGCCGAATTGACAACAAAACTAAATTCCTTATTAATGCTACATTGTACTCATCCTCTGAATCCGAATACGGGGAAATAATATATTTATACACACATATGTTAACACACAAAAACTTATTTTGACATTCTCTTTCGCTTCCAATTTCTTATTACCATATGTTTACAGCAATGTACGATGAATGCGGTGATCCAAAATGTACAACGATCGAAATGTTTCTCTATACGAAACAGAACTGGATGACGAATTCGGTGATTTGGCCCCAAATTAGTCGATTGGGTATTTAAATACCCAACGCAAAACTCGGATATGCTGATAGTTAGAAACCTGAAAATTTGCAACGCAACTTCTATGACCTGTATTAGCTTGCACATAAATTTAAAACAAAAATATATACCGTGGGTTCTATGGGTAGGTATTTTTACCTAATATATTGTTTTCTTGGAGGACGTACCCGGTTATTTTGCTTAGAAGTTCGGATACAGGTACCCGATTACAATTCACATTTCCAAAAAATCTGATCGTTGTTAGTAAACTTGATTTAAGCCAAACCTTCAATAAACCACGAACATAAAAGTAATGCGTTATGGAGAATATTGGAGTGTTGTGGATGAGTTGGCAGTGCTCATGATCATATTGCTATGGATGTAAATATGATAAATGATTTTTTCTCTAGTTTCCCTTACAGTATTTATGTATCTACCCTTGACATAGAAAGTTTTATTGATTTGAATTAATCTTACTCGTTTCGGGGTGTAGATGAATATGAATCTGATCAATAGGAGTTGATGGAATCCCCATTAAATTATGGAGTATATCATTAAGAAACTAATGTTCCTTATTATCTGGTGTGTCTCAGGATCTTTCTTTGGACCAGTACTTTTTCCTCTGTATGTAAATAATCATGTACTTCACATGAACACTTTATTTGCAGATTATATTTTTAGGCTTTTTAATGGTTGTCTTAAATCTGAGAGGAACATTAAATAAACCTTTATATCAAATCATCTAAATTCTTAAAGGTCGTTTACATTAAACCGGATTTGGTTAACCCAGTGGGTTTAAATTTTCAATTCCTTTGAATATATGCCAAATAAATCCCCTCATAAAGTAGGTTAACCCGGTAAAAAGTTCTAATGTAAATGCAGCATTTCCATTTTCCATGAACACTTTATTTGCAGATTATATTTTTAGGCTTTATAATGGTTGTCTTAAATCTGAGAGGAACATTAAATAAACCGTTATATCAAATCATCTAAATTCTTAAAGGTCGTTTACATTAAACCGGATTTGGTTAACCCAGTGGGTTTAAATTTTCAATTCCTTTGAATATATGCCAAATAAATCCCCTCATAAAGTAGGTTAACCCGGTAAAAAGTTCTAATGTAAATGCCGTATTAAAAACGAAAAAAGGTTAGTACAAAGGTTAATATTAGTAAATATTAAAACTCGAGTTTTAAATATCTATAACTCCCACAAAATATGACCCAAATTGATCCGAATGACTGTTGATTTGTATTTAGAACACATGGTTTATAAAGTCAAATTGGACTGTATTAGGACCAGAGGTCCTTATAAATACCACCTGGGCAGTACAGAGAACGATTAAAAGTGGTTTGAGACCCAAAGTCAGCTTGAAGACCACAGGTCTATATAATGACCAATTAGTGTATATAGAGAACACAGTATTTTTTATGACGAAAGAAACATCTCCAGAAATCACGGGTTACGTGTGGTAAACTTTTAAAATTTGTTTTCAATCGGGGTTTTATTTTTCGTTCTTCCTCGTTAAAACCATAAATATTTAAATAAGAATACTTCTAAGTTAAAGTGCCGACTTATTAATACACTTAATCCAAAATATGTTTTCAATAAGAAGACCTGATATTTAGGAATTTTCCACCTATCCATAATATAAAGTCCTATATATTTTGCCGAAGAACGACTATTTAGAAACATTTTTAGTTTAAAATAGTCTTAAATCCACGATCGAAGTCCGAATGTAATGTGAAAGTACAAAAATTTCAAGAAAAACGCAAATGAGCCCATGGACTTAACATTATCCAGCATAGACTTTTCAAATAGTACTTCAATAATATCAAACAAATTTAACGTTTTTATGTACAAAATGTATTGTAAAAATATATGTATATTTTGAAAATTAACTATTTATATAAACAAAAATAAAAATTATAAGGCTAACACCATAACTCGTTTTGAACTTTATCTTAATAACAATTTCCAATTAGATCCAATCCTTAGGGTTCTTCAAAATTTCAACAAGTTTCAATTCCTTCGAATTTGCAGGAGGTGAGTGCATATATTCCCACCGGGCTGTTAGTGGCAACGACATCAATATACTTTCATACCTCGCACCAGGCGTATAAAGACCAAACTTAGTTCCACGGTCATATATCAAATTAAACTCAACATAACGTCCACGACGCAACAATTGCCATTGTCTTTCCCTGTCGCCATAAGCATCGTTTTTATGTCGCCTGACAATTGGTAAATAGGAAGGTATAACCGCATGAGCACAATCGGAAACAAATTTGTAGGCCTCCTCTTGACTGGGAGCGTCAATATCATCAAAGAAAATTCCTCCGATACCACGGCATTCTCCCCGATGTGTAATTCGAAAATATTCATCACACCACTTTTTAAATTTGGGGTAATACCCTAGATCACTTTGATCACAAGCATCTTTCAATGTCTTGTGGAAGGATACGGCATCATCTTCATCCAAATAGTATGGCGTTAGATCAGTTCCTCCTCCGAACCACCATTGTTTAGATCCATCTGCGTCAATCACTTCAAAGTAGCGATAATTAAAGTGTATGGTTGGCACCATGGGATTACGCGGATGAATAACGGCGCTAACACCGGCAGCAAAGAATGGCAACTTGCTGCCTTCACTCAGCTTCTTACCACGAGAGCGCATTTGCTGTACAGCTGGAGGAGGCAGATGACCTTTAACCACGGAAATATTAACTCCGGCTTTTTCAAAGACTTCTCCATCTTGTAAAACGCAAGTAATGCCTCCCCCACCTTCATTGCGTAACCATCTATCCACTTTGAACTTTTGGCCAGCGTACTCTTCTGCCTCAAGAGCTCTACAGAAATCAGCCTGTATCTTTAGAATTAGCAGTTCCATTTTCGTTTTCATATCATCTTCAGAATTTAGCAATTGTTCCGCGTCCGTTATTGGTTCCGCCATGTAAATCGCAGTATTTAGTTTCCGGTGACTCCTAGATTCCATTTGGGCCACTGTTAATGTTCCAACGGTCATTATGCCAGTGCCCAAAAGAAATCCCCCTACATGATGTTTAGTTGTCCTACGTGAGAATTGATAAACACTCAATGAAGACAACTTTTGTATTGCCCGCCTAAAACCGGTCACGAATGCCATTGTAGATTCTCGAATATGCTATCTACTACCACTTGAGAGAGCGCCTGGTACACTGATATCACGAATGCGAGGTAAGAATTCGGAAAGATATCAGTTGGGTAGTCCCGGAACGAACTAGTTCATTGGAACTATTCCGAGAAAGGAACGAACGGAACTAGTTCCGTTCCTTTTTTTGATCTATTTGAAGCAAAGGAACTGTATGGAGCAAAGGAACTATAAAGAGCAAAGGAACTATATGGAGCAAAGGAATTATATATGGAAAAACGAAAAAAAGAATGATGAAAGAGAGAGATTCAAAAGAACTATGTAGGAGTCGAAACTATATGGAGCAAAGAAATTGTATGGACTAAAGGAATTATATGGAGCAAAGGTACTATATGGATCAAAGGAACTATATGGAGCAAAGGAACTATATATGGAAAAACGAAAAAAAAATAATAAAAGAGAGAGAGAGAGATTCAAAAGAACAGTGGGAAGCCTCCAAGACTCCAGGCTTCATAAAATTCGCTTGTTAATCGTCGTTCTGCCAAGACTCAAGCGACGTCGTACGCAAACCTTCGCCAACAAATGGTCTGTTCCAGTACTTTTTATACCCTCCACCATAGTATGGAGGGTATATTAATTTTGTCATTCCGTTTGTAACTCATCGAAATATTCATTTCCGACCCTATATAGTATATATATTCTTGATCAGGGTAAAATTCTAAGACGATCTAGCCATGTCCGTCCGTCTGTTGTAATCACGCTATCTTCTGAAGGAATTGAGATAGGGTGCTGAAATTTTGCATAGGGTTGTCTTTTGTCTGCAGGCAGGTCAAGTTCGAAGGTGGGATATATCGGTCCACGTTTAGGCATAGCTCCCATATAAGGGTACCCCCCAATTTTCGGTATTTTGGGGTTCTTGAGCGCGTTTTTCAAGCGAATTTGTAGTAAATGTATCCACAAAAAATTATAAATATAGGTCCACTTTTTCTTGTAGCCCCCATATAACGGTACCTCCTAATTTTCAGTATTTTTTGGGTTTTTATCGTATTTTTCACCGAATTGGCTGTAATTTAGTATTTTGAGTTCTTAGCAGGTACCAAATCTCTCCACAAAAAATTTAAATATAGGTCAATTTTTTCGGATATCCCCCATATAACGGTACCCCCCAATTTCGGTATTTTGGAGTTCGTGAACGCGCTTTTCAACCGAATTCGCTGCAATTTTGTACATTGGGTTCATATTGCGTACCAAATATCTCTACTAAAAATTATAAATATCGGCCCACTTTTTCTGGTAGCCCCCATATAAGGGCACCCCAAATTTTCGGTATTTTGAGGTTCTTAAGCGCGATTTTCAACCGAATTCGCTGAAATTTGGTACAGTGGGTTCATATTGGGTACCAAATATCTATATTTAAAATTATAAATATCGGTCCACTTTTTCATTTCAAATACCTGTCAGTATACCTGTGGTGGAGGGTATCCAAAGTTCGGCCCGGCCGAACTTAACGCTTTTTCACTTGTTTAATAGTAAAGCTAGTAAAAGGGAAACATTTCAAGTCTCAGAGTACAAAATAATTTGAAAAGTTCGGGAACGCAAATCTAGTAAATATGCCAATTCTTTTAGGTTTTGGAACGGAGCTAAATTAAAAACGACGACTGAAAAAATTGAAAAACGTTCCACCTGCTAACGAATGGGAGGAGAAGACAAAATGGCCGATAAAGATGAACTCAAAATGGTATAACCGAAAGTTTACGAATGAGGTGGGATAGAGACTAAATGGAAACCGTGTTGTTTACGAATGAGGTTTAGGCCAAATTATGATTAGGGATAAGTAAATCGACTTTCTGTATTGAAAAGTCTAATGCCATGTTCTGACGACCATTCGAACAACGTTCATAAAACGCTACACTTAAGGGCTAAAGTCGAAATTTTTGACATTAGACTTGAGAAAAAACAGATGTTTTCCGATTTCGATTGCTATCTTGGTGACCTTATTTATAGGCCATGGCCATGATGTCGCGTTGCATGTTATCGAAAATACAACAACCACAAGGAAACGATATGCGTTTGCAAGTTGAGGCTAATGGTGTTTTTACACGATATGTATTTTACATATGTGCTGTCACTTTTTTACATATGGAAATCGAACTCGTCATGTGAAACATACGGAAATTTCAATGTGTCAAAACGATATGCATTTACATATGTATTTTTTCCGAATAGGACGCGCTCTATTTTCGTATGTGAAACATAAGGAAATCAGCTGTTTCAATGAAACACATTGTTGGAAGAAAATATTTCAATTGCAAGTCAAAGAAAAGGATGAAAAGGCAACAATTACAAATTATTATTTCGTTTGTAGGTGTTTAATAAAAAAAATTATGTATGATTTAAGAAAAAATAAAAGTGTTTTTTTGTTTATAGGTTATGTCATATGTAAAATACATATGCCGATTTGAACACAAAAATAAATGTTTTGTGTACGCTGCTAATTTTGACACACATTTGGATGAAATAAGTGACAGCACATATGTAAAATACATATCGTGTAAAAACACCATAACCAGTTTTTTATGTTCTCTATCGATTTGTGACTAAGTCACTCATTTCACTGTCTTTTTTCGATCGTTCCCAACGCTACTCTTCAGGGCTAAACACTATGTTCGCGTTGAGCGTTTTTTGTTATCGCGTTAACGCACGCAAAAAGTTAAAATACTCCGAAGCGCAGCGCACAACAACTTCGAGCGTTTGTGTTATCGTTTCCTTGTGGTTGTTGTATTTTCGATAACATATAACGCGACGGATGGCTCAACGCGATCATTCTTCTCAGTGTTCGCAAAAAAACGGTACACTATCGTAGTGTACCGTACCAGGAACACAAACACTAAAAAATTTTAGCGTTAGTGTTAAAAAATATTTTATTGTTACTGTTCCGGAGCACAACTAAAAATCGTAGTGTACCGCGGTCGGAGCACTAAAAATCGTAGTGTTCCATTTGGCGGAACACTAAAAATCGTAGTGATCCACTTGGCGGAACACTTAAAATTATAGTGTTCCATTGGTCGGAAAACATTCATTTATTTTTGTATGAATAAAATTTATATTTTTATTGCTTTTCAATATATTTAATAAATACAATATCTTTTTATATTTGTATTTGTTTATATTTAAAAAATAGTAATATTATATTAACATCAACAGTTTAACATAATAAATATTTTGTAACTAAAAAGGGCGTCTAGTGACGGCCAACTGAAAATTCCATTGAATTGCATTTTGGGTTATAATCGATTGCGCTGATCGGAAATATGAAATTCGGTTTTTATATGGTACCTGTATGTGGTCTTGTAATATTTATCCCAAAATCATAAAACTACTTTTTTCATATCCGCGTAACTTGTACACTTCTTTTCATGAATAAGCAGGTAATAATTATGTTGATTGTGTGCCAATCACCAAATTTTGAATATTTTTGATAAAATTTCCTAAAAGTATGAATCATAGATGCAGGTATAATTTTTTTAAGAAAATAAATTTTCATACTAATTTTTTTCGTGTTCGTTCTGTAAATTAATGAAAATTTTATCCAAAGCTGTATAATTTTGTCACAAAAACTGGCCAAAATACCTACATTTTGTAATTGGAAATAAAGTTATATTTTATATATATTTTTATTTTTTTATTTGATCTCATTTTACCTCAAAAAACAAAACAGACGTGTATGGTACATTACCAGTACAGTTCAAGTAAGTGGAACGCTACGATTTGTATTGTTCCGACCAGTGGAACACTACGGTACAGAACACTATCGAACTCTGATTCTGCTTACCCCTTTAGTCCCAAAGTAAAACTAGAAGCCTACAAAATGGGGACTACGTCTCTTATGTATCATTTTTCAAAATTTTAACTGCACCAACCTTTATATGATGCTCGATTTTGAGTGTTTTTTTTTAATTATACTTCTATGCAAATAGGAATTTCTAAAAATCGATTATAAGATTATTGCAGTCGCGAATCTGAGTAATTTGATATATATTTTGTGTATGTAGTATGACAGCTTCAGAGTAATACTTATCCAAATGTGAATATTATGTGCGATAAAATTTCTAAAAAACCTATTTTTCGGGCAACATTTTTAGACCTGTCAGTTGAATGATATGGGTAACGGATGAAATAAATTCTTCTTCGTGAAAATCCATCTACTAGAACGAAAACACGAAATTTGGCAAACATTTTTTTTTTTTTTTGAAAATATCGCGGATTTAATTGCATTTTCTGTGGAACATTTCCGCTTTAATAAATGACCGGATACAGAATTTGAACTTTTGCGAACACAGAACTTTAAAAACTTCAGTCGAAAGAGAGATGTACCCAATTTATCTCACAAATAGAGTGAGCTTGGTCATCCATGGTTCTTAATGGACCGCATTGAAATGTATATAGATCGATTTATTTTTTAGGTTGCACCCCGAAATCGTATGCGCGGTAATGGCATATAGAGTTTTCGGAAATTATTCGCGTTTTACGAGTTCAATGTAATGTGTAGGACATCTAAGCCGTCAAATGAAATTTCGCAAAACATGCATGGGTTGGAAGATAATATTTAGTATTTTATGGAAACCGAGGATTTTGAGGATTACGCGATTTGGCACAAATGTTTATTTCACAATACAGTTTTATTTTAAGATTTATTACTATTTATAGAACCCTAATATTTATCGGGAGGGCCTGGCTATAATCTGCAAGGCATGATGCAATATGGTGATGTATACCAACAAAAACCTTTGTTTTTGTCTCGGTTATCTGTCAAAATTTTCCATATAATATTTCAAATCAAGACATCAGCTGCTAATCAAGACATCAGCTGCGCTAAATGGACTACCTATTCATTGTGCCATGCAGCAAGGTGTATACTTATACACAAGAAGTAAATATTTGTATATATGCCAATTTTTCTGTGAAATTCGGGTATAATCACCCCTATTCCGTATGTCGTCGTCGTTGTCGACGACGTTTCTCTTTCGACATCACTTCGCATCGACATCACTTCGACACTGATTTGGTATTCCGTAACACTCATGCGACGATGTCGACTATTTATCGATAATATCAATAAAAACAAAAAATGTTGCATATTTTTGGGCAAAAATGTGTTTGTATCCTTCACCGCACTGTGGCACAGGGTAAATGTGTTTGCAACGACCAAAAAGAAACGAGATAGACCCATAGTTTCTTTTTATTATATATGTACATAGAATTATTTTTCAGTCGATTTATGCATGTCCCTCCATCCATGTATTATTTTAAACAAGTTACATGCCACCATTATGATCCGAATGGGATGAAATTTGGAAAAGTGCATCCAATTGGGATGAAATTTTATTTGGCGAATAGACGATTCCTGTTGATATTATTCAAAATCGGTTCAGATTTATATATAGATCCCATATATTTTTCTTTATTTACACTTTATTTTGCATTAAGTATTGAATAGATTCTAGAATGATGTATCCTGTTCTTGTCCGGTCATGTTTTTTTTTTTTAATTTCTAAAAAAAATGTTCAAACGCTTCAGTCGTCAACAAAAGCTATGACGAAGAAATTTCGGCATCGTCGTCGTCACACATTGTTACGGAATACCAAAAATGTTTCAATAGTTATCGATAAATGTCGACAACGACATAGGGAATACCAATTTGCAAAAGACGACTCTCTTCGACGTCGTTTCGTGTCGACGACGACATACGGAATAGGGGTGAATATAAGAATGACCCCAAAATTGTTTTCTGAAATTTCTTGTATAAAATTAAAAAATAAATATGATGCCATTATTTCTTCGAACCAAACAAATAATTTTCCTCAATATCTTGTCTTGTTGTCGCTGTAATTTACAAACAGCTACACAGACTTGTGTGATTTTGATATCATTTGATTTATCGCGGTATTTAGATTATGTAGATATTTTTAAATTAATTTCTAGGTGGATGCATGTCATGAATATAATGTCGTAAACTCGTATATTTTTAATTTTTAGTTTTTATGTAGAATTTTCTATTTTGAAATAGAAAACAAAAATGATCTTTTTAGAAAAAACTACCTCGTTTTGTGAGGTAATGAGTAATGCAGGAATCTCCACAATTTGTCATTCAAAATTATTTTCCTGATGAGTTTAATTCTTCTGAATATTGGAAAATACAAAAACAAATTTCAGTAAATTTTTTACGCTCTAATCAACAGATTTGTTGTATTGTAACTTCATTCAGATTACCGACACGCAACGCCATCCGTAATAAGGGTACATATTTCGTGATGTTAACTTCTATTTAGATATGGACAATCATATAAACATTGATGTAAACAAATGCTTTCCTTTCATGTTTCCCATACATCATTCAGTAACTATTAAGAAGTGTTTAGCAATAAAAAAGGAAGTGGTAAATCTACCATCTACTTTAATGGTGATCCGAGAGGATACGTTTATGAAATTAAAATATTGCAATGCACAAAAATGTGCACTTAAAAAATCCGAAACAAACTGGGGTTGAACAACAGAATACAAATGGTATTCCAAACAACCCGCCAACACTACGACAGAGGGGTCTACGATCCGAAACGACCCGAGTCTTACTCGGCCAACGTCTGTCACCTCAGCCCATTGTGTAAAAGCAATAGGGCTGCTACAACAACAACAACAACTGAATTAACAATTAAATAATCAATTTTTGACAAAAGATCTGTCATTGTTTGAGTTTTATAACTAAATAAATTCAAACAAAAAACAAATTTCTAAAGGAAAACATATGTACGAATTATAAAAATAAGATAGGACTGAATTGTTTAAAATTTAATTGGAATGGAAAAATTGAAATTATTCTATATCGAAAAAAAACTCCTTTGAACTGTAAATTGTTCAGTTCCATCACATTTTTTTCTTTTTTTTTATAACGGCAACATCAGATTGTTTGTTGTACCAGTCACTCTATTTTACCGAAATGTAAATGAATCTTGTGACATAGTTTAGGTATTACAATTCAACTCCTCCCCGTTCCGACGTCCGTTAATTTTTTACTCAAAAAATTACAAAGTATTTTTAATTTAGCAAGCAAATACATTACCGGCAGAAGTGCAATAAAATAACACAAATAAGAACGCGTTGTGTAAGTTATTTATCATATTCAATATATATTTATTCACATGTTGTTCTTTAAATGTGATTGCATTTATACGACTAAACCTTACCTAAAACGGAACCGCAATCGACTTTTGTGGAATGCCTACAACGAGAGGAGAAATCTTACCATTTCTCTTCAGAAATATAGATTGATTGTCTGTCTGCATTGCACCTCAATCATAACATGTTTATACACACATAAAAAGCACTTAAAACTTACAGAAGAAATTACCAGTAACCCAATTATCGTTTTGTAGCACTCGTAAATTTTTAGTGCAAAAATTATTTGCAACGTAAAAAAATAAAAATTAGAGGACAATTTATGCTTACCCTTGTCTAGACTTACACGTGATATTTGATTTCGAGGAGAATACATTGAATTAAATGGCAGATTTTTGAGATTAAACAGCAAGTGTGTATCTAGTGATCTTTAATGTTTAAAGATCGCATGAATGCACTTACATAGTGGTTTAATACTTTTTGTTGGGGGCCTGATCTCTCTGGCAAGACGCATTGGAATTTGTTAAAACGACACTCTAGAATGGGAAATTGTGTTAATCAATTTTAAACAATTTACCTTCAACAGCGGCCTAGTCTTCTACACATTTCTGAAATCAACACAAGCGGATTGCAATGAGAATGAATCGTTCTTGAACGAAAAACTGGGATATATTGCAAAAGAGTGTTGTCAGTTCCAAATTACTAGATTATATGGTTCATTCTTATTGCAAACAGCTAGTGTAGAATATTACCATCGACATGTATCCAATCATTTTCTAGAGGCATTGTTTACTTTCAACTTTTTCAACAAATCGAATGCCGTTTCAAAACTGCAAAAAGAGAAAGAGAATTAATCAACAGTTTTAACAACATGAGCTGAATGTCAACAAAAGGGAACAAATATTACAAGTCCTTGTGGGAATCTAACTGCCATTTCTGGAACTCTTCCTGAGTGCGATTGCTTCCCTCCCCTTACCCGAGAGGGGAATTAAAAGTAGACCTTGTGTTAATATAATACGCTGTTTTTTGTTGTTGTATATTTTACTTACTGTTTCTTTTTTAGTTTGTCCACACACATCAATTGTGGGTAAATATTATTACTTAATATATAAGAGTTGCATACTTCGTTAGATCATACAATACATGAGCATACATAATTAATATAGTTTTAAATGTTTTTTTTTTATCAGAAATAAGCTCTTAAATTAATGACAAATAATTTTCGTAAAAACATTTAAACATTTTAGATGTGGTCTCTAAATTTTATTTAAAAGCTTATTAAAAATGTAATCAACCAGCAAACAATACGACATATCTCTTCTTTAAATCCATACAAAGTCTTATTTGAAGATAACTATATAAATAATAGCAGTTGAAAAGGCCCCTTCATTTGCTAGTTGATGACATAGTTGGAAAAACTAAATCTACTTGTTTTAGTAATTTGTTTATAAATTGAAGACAAAATTATAATGAATGTACCAAAAATTTGATGGCAATTTCTCAACTTCCACAGATTCTTTCTCCCTTTAAAGTAGTAGTAGTACTTAACGAGTGCCATTAGCCACATATGAAATTTTGATCTGACGCGCTAGATTTGTAAATGACCTTACTATAATATGTTTTGCCTTTATCGCCACCAGTGTTGTTGTGGATCAGCAGTATTCTGGCCGTTTTCGGGGCCAACTCCGCGTCCTGGTATTGGTGGAGGTGGTACACTAAACATGTCGTGCTGAGGCCGGAATTTTTCTTCGTCTTCGTCTGATTCCCGCTTAATGGGTGCTGATGGATACATGGGGTATGTTGGATAACCGTCATCAATAGGTTCTTCTTTAATTTTAATAACGTCCATGTCTCGGAAGTCAGGCTTTCGTTCTTTAGAGTCTCGGCGATCCCTATCTTTGTCACGCCTCTCCCGTTTTCTTTCGCGTCGTTCGCGTGATGACTCGCGCTCTCTCGACTTTGAACGTTTCTTTTTGCGGTCTCTTTCCCTGTCTTTGTCGCGCCTATCACGTCTTTCGTACTCATCATAGTCACGGTCGCGACTTCCACGACGCTTCTTACGCTCCCTGGAACGACTACGGGAACGGCGCGTACGCTCGCGTTCTCTTTCTCTGATACGATCACGAGATCTTGATCTCCGACGTATGCCATCGCCAAATCGACCTCTTTCTGCGACGCGGGCATTCTCGCGATCTTCACGTTCACGTTCTAATCTATAGCGCTCACGTTCTCGTTCATTGTCTTCTCGACCTGAATGTTTGATATTGACGTCGTTACCACCACGTCGAGTGCCACCGAGACCTCCACCTAACCGACGAGGCAACCATCCTTTGACTGTACGTGCTCTTTCAACGTCAACGAGCACACGTTTACTATCAATCTTTTTACCATCAGCATGTTTGTACGCAGCGTGCATATCACGTTCATGTTCGTATTCGATGAAAGCGTAACCTTTTGGCTTACCAGTATCTTGGTCATGGATCATGACGATTTTCTTGATTGGACCATATATCTCAAATTCTCTTCTCAATTTCGACTCTGAGGTGTCATAGTTTATACGTGCCACAAAAAGTGTTTTAAATGGATCCTCTGTGGCGTTCTTTATTTCTTGAGGGTCCCATAATGCTATTTCACGTTCCAACTTATACGCTACCTGTTCGGCTTTTTCTCGCCTCCGTCTCTCCAGCCTCTCCTGTCGGGTTTCCATTTTCTTTGGTGGAGGCGTGTCTTTCGGATCTTCAAAATCATTTAAAAAATTACCTACTCCCAAGTAACCTCTGGATTTCTTTTCATGGGGCAATTTGTCCACCGGCGGCATGTACGGAATAGGGTCCCGTGCGGCAAATAACGCCAGCAAATTCGGCGGTAAATATTGTGTCATTTTGTTAAGATATTGTGTTTACGTTCTTCTTTAAATATTCCTTGGATAAAAGAACACGTTCTTTTGTGTTTTTCTTCGGTCACAACTTATACAAACCTGTAAATATCACAATTAGTTTAGGTTAGGTTAGAACTCCCCAAAGAGAACAAGATGTTGTACAATTATACCTATTCATTTCACTCTGCTATCTGCCAAATTATTAATTCGGGATTATAGACCATACAGGTTAATGGAACTACAATCCTTTTCCAATATCTTCTATTTGGTGTTATAAAAATTTTCTGAATTCCGTTTTCAATGTAGAATACACTCCCCCAGCAATAAAGCTGTTGATTTTCATTGTTGGTAGCCATGCTTTTTAAATTATGGTTGGCAACGTACGAATGCCCATTTAAATACAAGCGTCAAAGTTACAAATGTTGAATGATCAAATACGATATATTTTGTCATGTGGACACTGCTATTCCCGTACTGCAAGAATCTACTAGATTTTACTATTTTCTTCGATAACATAAAGGAAACTTCGTTATCGTAGTAAAAAGTAGTAGATTCTTGCAGTACGGGAACAGACCAATAAATTACGTAAATTTTATGGTTGGGAAGTGCCAGGGCCTATAGATAAGGTCACCCAGTGAGACCAGCTGGATATCAGCTATTGTGAATTGACTTCCATTATGAAAACGTAAACAAAGTTGAAATTTTTGACATTAAAAATTTTTGACAAATTTGCCTTTGACAGTATTCAGATTTCAAAATTTAAATGTGGCAAAAATTGCCAATTAATTTATATTTAGAAATATTTTGATATTTCCTGCCTCTAAAACTTATAAATATAAGATGTAATAACCATGGTTAAATCATTAGAGCAGTATTTAGCATTAAAAATATATTTTGTTTAATTTATTGAAAATATGCCAATCGCCACACACAAAATGTTTTTTTTTTGCATATTATTTAAAATTTATAGATGCATTTTAAATTAGAAAAGGTTGCCAACATAAAATTCTCAAATAAGACTACCTTCTGTAATTATGCCATGCATTGGGAAGAAGAAATTTATGATTTTTTAATGAATTAATATGTTAATCATAATCCGAAATCGATTTAAAAAAACTTGAAATATGTCAACTGAACTGAACGAATTTTTGCATTTGTTTTTATTTATTTTGACCATGGCACAATGAATAAGTAGTCCATTTAGCGCAGCTGATGTCTTGATTAACTGTCAAAGTGGGTAATTTCTACTTGAATTCGATGTACAGTGTTGCCAATCATTTGATATATTATATGGAAAAGTTTGACAGATTATCGAGACAAAAACAAATGTTTTTGTTTTGATACATCACCTTATTCAAGTAGAAATTACGCACTTTGACAGTTAATCGAGATATCAGCTGCGCTTAGTGGACTACCTATTTATTGTGAAATGGTTTGGATAATGAAGCTAAGACCTTCAAAATACCGCAAATGGGACGGTACCCTTAAACGGGGGTTATTCAAAAACATGAACATATATATTTTTGGATTCATTGTTACCCAAGATTGCAATAAATTGAAATTTATCACAAACCACTACCTACCTTTTAATTTACTGGTCCACATTACCCACACATACTGGTCAACATTACCGGCCAAGTTATTTTTATTCGCAGTTTTAAGTTTTTTTTTTAATATAAAGGGAAACATTTCAAAATCGCTCTCAGAGTATAAAATAATTTGAAAGGTTCGGGAACGCAAATCTAGTAAATATGCCGAAATTAGATGGCAATACTTCAAAATCAACCTAAAAGCGGATTTACATATAACATCTAATCATGATTAAAGGCTGTATCAGGGTTTATTTTCTTAATCAGGCTAAATTTACCACGATTTATCATACAAAATTAAATCATCGTGCGGCATGGTTTATTTTAAATCATGATCGAAATCATAATACTACTGAGATGCAACGCGGTCTTTGTACGAAAAAATACAACTCTCTCACAATGTACCAAAATTTGCAACTGTTTTCACATGTTGTTTGTTTTTAAATTTGCAAAAAAATGAAAATTCAAGCAAAACAAAAATTATTTATTAGTTTTTGCGTGTTTTAGGTAATTTTTTTGACTTTACCGACGATCACAGCATTGGGAAAAAATAAATTGTTTTAATTCTTCTTTTAATTTACAAATTGCAAACAAATATTTTTTGGCGCTAATAAATAATTTTGTATGTACACATCACGATTAATGTTATGTGTAAACAATTTCGGTGTATTTCTGGATTTCGTCAATCGGGTCGATTTAAAATCGTATATGTAAATGTACTTTAACAGCCAATTAGAAGTAGGCATTCCTGTTTACCATTTTTACTCGGCCAAATTTCTCGAGTAAAAAGTTTACAAAGAGAACGCCTTTTTGCTTTGTGCTCTCTTAAATTTGATTCAATGTTTTACCAGTTTTGTGAGTTCAGGAATGGGGTTTCGAGTAAAAAGTTGCAAAACTTGTAAAATTAGTAGATTCTTTTAGGTTCCGAAACATTTTTATAGACAAATATTTATAATGTTTGAACTGGAATATGTTTAGACAACAATTCTACTATGATGTGAAAACAATTTGTTTTTATTTTTTACCGTTGTTACGCACACAATATCAAAAAAAGAATATTAAAAGAAATAAAAAATTAATTCAAAATAATATATATTGCGAAATAGTGAGGTATAATCCCAGTTTGTTGGGATATTATAACACAAATGCACACATAACACATGCCATTCTACACTTAATTCCATGGCATAATTCCATGGCATAATTATACAAGGTAGTCTCATGATGTCATATGTTTCCAATTTTTTCATAAATTTACGTGTGACGACATTCAGCTTTCAAAATTTTATTGAAAATACCATCCATTGAAATGTACATACATCAGTTGGTCAGTGACAAAAATTGCATTATTTATATTTATTAATATTTTAAAGGTACGTTTAGATTTACGAAATACACTCGATCTCAAATCTTAATTCCATTGCTTATAGTACGTTTACATTTAACCAGATTTCGTTAACCCAGTGGGTTTCAATTGTCATTTCCTTTGCATATATGTCAAATAAATCCTCATAAAGTAGGTTAACCCGGTAAAAAAGTTCTAATGTACAAGGAGTTTAATACTTCAAATATAATCCACTGGATTTGTGAAGAAGATTAACATGATTAACGTATACGCAATGTAATTGACATTTGAGATCGAGTTGATTTAGTAGTCTAAACGTAGCCTAAAGTCTCCTGTCTCTAAAACTCATAAATATATCTTATAACACCCACATTTACATTTGTACCGGATTTCGTTAACCCAGTGGGTTTAAATTGTCAAATATTTCAAATTAATCCTCGTAATGTAGGTTAACCCGGCCGTTTTAAGAAATATAATTTTTTAATTATCTGAGAATATTAATGTATGCATGGTACAATAATACAAGGTAGGGCAGCTTGAGGTGAATAAAAAAAAGCAACTATGCACGTGTGGCCTCTTCTGCCAAATACAAAATAAATATACGCCACAAGTGTTTGTGTTTATTTGACATTTTTTGAACACAAAACTAAAAACGCGACAAATGAATGAAAGGTTATGATTTCTTCTCAAAATCCAGTAGGGAATACCATAAAATGTTTGTTTCATCCATAACAAGGTTATACTTCCAGACGAACATGTTAAAAACATAATTTTCATTTAAATTAAACGACATGTACACTAGAACTTTTTTGCATGGTTAACCTTCTTTATGAGGATTTATTTGACAAATATGTAAAGGAATTGACAATTAAAACCCACGGGTTAACGAAATCCGGTTAAATGTAAACTTACTATTAAATTTATTATATTTTAATTTATTTTGAATTTATTTGACATAGTATTCAAAACAATACACACACATACACAAAATATGTATTTTGATTTGATGGAGCAAGACACCTTGAGGATAAATTGTAATCAGTTGGTAGCTGTGCCCTACCTTGTAATAATTATACCATGAATGTATGTACGTATTTCAAGCTTCTAGCTTCAGTCGTTTCGTCTAAGCGATGATCTGTCAGTCACTCACTCACATAACACTAATGGTGTCTTTTATAAATTGAGATGCCCGATTTCATTGAGAAATCGAAAATGCATTGTAATATTGGGATCGAGCTCACAAAAAAGGGATAATGCTTGCTTTTACATTAGTTTACGTGATTTGAATGGCTGAGTGTTTTTTTTTTTGCAATATTTTTAAAATATGACATATATGTCTACGGTTGTATTTGTAATTTTTTAATGTATCAATTCCAAAAAAACGCATAGTTGTATGTTTTCGTTTCAAATGAGACTACCTTCTCAAATTATGCCATTGTTTAATTTAGATTTGTATAAAAATACTACATTTTGTTGACCCCTGGTTTGGTCGTTAATTATTCGTTAAAATGTACGCGCTACGGTTTATTGCAACCTTGACGTTTTAACGAATAATTACATGTCACTTGCTTTGTCGTCTCCTTTAAGAATCAGGGAGTATCAACCTGTCAATCGGAGAAACAGCACGCATAATGTTGCACACAGGCATATCGTTGCCAAAAGGTAATATTGTTTACCACCAACCAAAAAACTAATATACTTTGAATGTTAAGTCTGCTTTTCCACAGCCAAATTTTTATTTGGCAAATACTGAGTTTGTAGGCGAGAGGGGTGCGAGGAAGAAAAACAAAAATTTGCCTGTTCAGAATTTGCCGTACACGCAAATTCTGCTTTGCTCTGTTCGTTGAAAACAATTTTGTTGACATTTCCTTTTGAACCTATTCGCTTTACTGACACACAGCCGGCTTTTGTTTACAAACCTGTTGCTTTAATTTGTGCAAGTGAAATTTAATTTTTAATTTTTGCAATTTATATAATAAAATATATAAAAAATAAATAAAATATTAAAAAAAAACTTTAAAATGCAAACACTTTTGATTTTTTTTCTTTCTTTTGTATTTTGATTCGCAAA